TCGCTAGTACTATAGATCCTAGAGCCTACTTACCCGATATATCTTCTCCCTCTAGCTAGGAATCCGGTAGTAAGCTAAGTATCGAACTGCTAGATACCGAGATTAATAAGCTCTCGCGAGGCTTAGGAGGCGGGTCGTCTTTACGAAAGGCACCGAAATTCTTAAAAACGTTACCCGTTAGCGGGTTGATTTTAAAAGACTCCCTACGTCTATTAGGCTTAGCTTAGCCTAAGTTCTCGTCTTTAATTAAGCGACGGACGCCCTACTTCTCTAGTCGTAGAGGGATATAAACCTTATAGCGACGTAGCTAATTCTCGCCTACGGCCGGATTCTCGTTAGTAGACTTAAGGTGTTCTGCTAGCTACTAAGCGAAGTATAGGCTATCCGACTAGTACGAAGTTAGGCGATATACTTGTCGTATAGCGGAAAGCGATAGGGAGTTGTCGTTAACCTACGAACTAATAATCTTAGCGTATATCTAAGGTTTAGGAGTCGCGTCTTTATTTGTATCCGGAATACGGGACTATAACCTTAGGCGACGTAGAGGTTTAGCCTCCTCCGGATCCTCGCACTACTCGGTAATAGCGATAACTCTATACCTAAGATCCTTCTCGAATAGCTTGTTTAGACACTACCTTAGTTTCGAGAAGGCTAATAGTATATATACCGTATAAACTAGGTAGTATCTATCTTCCTTTAATTCGGGAAGAGTGCAATCTTCCTAGGCTATAGGCGGCGGGTCGTTCGGAGATTCCTAGTCCTTTAATGCTATAAGCTCTCTTATTAAGGCGTAGATATTGCTACTAAGAGACGGAATAGGGCACTGTCTTAATATTAACCGTAGGTATAGACGTAGTAGCTACCGTAAGAGTAATCGGAACCTTCTATGTCCTTATATCTAAAAGGGGAAGTTAGGAGGGTTAGGTGCCTAGCTCCTACTAACCCGAAATGTCGTTCCTACTCTTAGCAAGTAAGGGTATTAATAGAGGGAGCGTAAAGCGCGCCGCGGCGCTAGGCTAGGTCTATCGTCAATTTCCGTACCGATTCGCTAGTAGGTCTCGTATGTTTTCGTACTAAATTATAGCCTCTTTCTTATAGTATAGCTACGGCGTTTAATAGTGCGGAAAGTAGTATTAGAGTAGTTCGTTAGGACTCTCCTTCGGCGCGGAGGACTTTCGCCTTAGAGAGGGGAATAGTAAACCGTAGTTTAGATAGTCCGTTTAGAGACGGTTAGTACGTGTTTTACGCTAGTACTCGAAGCGAAGCTACTATTTTGTTATATATCGTATATTATAAAGTAGATGATTATTCTAAGTCTATCTAGGCTTAGAGAAGTATATACTATAGGAGGCTAGGGCCTCCTGCCTAGCCTATGCCTATGCCTGCCTTCGTAATAGAAACCCTCCTTAAGCCGAAGTACGACTTAGGTCTAGCAGAGCCGTAGCTAAGTATAACTATAGCAAGATTACTAAGATTGCTATAGCTGCTACTACAAAAGATGCTTAGAAGCTAGCTAACCTAACAACCCTAGCTAAAGCCCTAAAAAGGCCTAACTAGGATGAATAGAGAAAAGCCGTTATAAAGGAGATAAGGTCTCTTAAAAAGTCTAGTACAATCGAGTGGATTCTAGCCGAATCCCTACTAAAAGGCAGAACACCTCTAATAGGAAAATGGGTTTTTAAGATTAAATACCTGCTAGACGGCTCTATTAACAAATATAAGGCAAGATAGACAGCTAGAGGCTTTACATAGAAGCAAGGTCTTAACTATATTAACACCTATGCTCCTATACTAAGAGCAGCTACTACTAGACTTGTCCTTAGGCTTTTAGTAAACAAAAACTAGAAGCGAAGATAGGTTGATATCGAGACTGCTTTCTTAAATCCCCCTCTAAACAAAGAGATTTTTATTAGACCCCTAGAAGGCGCGCACCTGTTTAAGAAGCACCCTCTAAAGTAGATTATCCGTATTAGAAAAGGATTATATAGTCTTAAGCAGGCTGCTAATCTCTAGCACTATAATGCTTTAGACACTCTTCGTTAACTTAGCCTAAGTAGGACAAAGAGTAACTGTTGCCTATAGCAAGGTAATAGTATTCTTGTCCTCCTTTATATAGATAACTTCTAAATCTTTAGAACCTCTAAGGCAAAGATCGATACTCTAATTGAAGGTCTTCGTAAGAAGTACACAATTAAGATTGTTACGTCTAACCTGTTTCTAGGCCTTTATCTAAAGGAAGACAAGGAGGGAAACCTTACTGTCTCCTAGATACACTATACTAAAGAGAAGCTTTAGAAGTATAGCTTAGACTAGTACAAGCTAATAAAGCATCTACTTAAGAAGCTTTACGAGCCTCTTACAACCCCCTATAACCGTTAGGACTACTAGCTATTTAATACCATAATTAGTAAAATGCAGTTTCTAGCTAACTAGACTAGACTAGACATTAGCTATGCCGTCAACCACCTTGCTAGGTTCCTTTAGAATCCCGGACCTAAGCATGTTATAGCTGCTAAACATCTCTAGAGGTATATTGCTAGTATAGTTAATAAAGGACTTGTCTTTAGAAAGAAGAAAACTTTAGAATTTCAGGCATACTCTAACGCAGACTTTGCTAGTAACCCTTTATTATTAAGATTAATATTAGGCGCCCTTGTACTTCTTAATAACACTCTAATTATATAGAGATTATAGCTCTAGAAGGAAGTCGTGCTCTCTAGCACTAAAGTAGAGTATATTGCTCTAATAGAAGCATATAGAGAAATCTGCTAGCTCCGAAATTTGATAACTGAGCTTTAACTACTTACTAGGGAAGAAGTCAACAGGATTTATATCTAGGTAGACAACTAGTTAGCCATTTCCCTTGTTAAGGACTACACTAATTCTAAGAGGTTAAGGCACGTTTCCCTTAGGAACTACTACTATAGAGAACAGTATATCTAGGGAAAGATTAGTATCGAATTCGTTACTACTAACAAACAGCTAGCGGACTGTTTTACTAAGCCTAAATCTCTAAACAAAATTCTCTAATAACACAGCGTCTCTAGGACAAACTCCTAAGTTACTCCTTTAGAAAGAAAAATCTTATTTGTAGGATTAGAAAACAAGCTTTATACACTTATTGAATTTCATTCTAATTTCTAGAAACAGCCTAGCTACACTATACAGTCTGAGCTGCAAAATTTCTTTTATAACAACATTAAGACCAAGCAGGAAGAAATACCCTAGCCCTTAAGAGTTAGAAACTCTCTAATGCTGTAAGGCTTTTACTAATCTAGACTGCCTAGCCTATTTTAAAATCAAAAACATATATTATAGCTCTCTGTCTACTAGAAAAAACCGAATCTCCCTAATTAGCTACCTATCTTAGTATTACTGTCTTCGTGATTAGAGAAACCCCTCTAAGGACTACTAGAATTACGAGTCGAGCTAGGACTAGTAGACAACCTAGAACCTAGACTACGACTACGTCCCTAAGCAGTAGCCTAGGCATAAGCATTTACCTGCTATAGCAGCAAATTCGCTACTGCCTAAGCGCTCTAAGGAGTACTCTAATCGATACTAGACGGGACTAGTACGTATAGACGACGCTAATTAGTGCCTACTCTACTCCCCGGATTGCGAGGCGGTAGAGGCGCTATAGGCGTCTAACGATTCGTATTAGAGCGTAGCCGAGAGACGTAACCTAACAAAAAGAATTAGTGTTTTTGCTTTAAAAAAATTGTATAAGACTAGATTCAACTTACTAGAGAACTCGCATTAACTATAATAATTTAGGCTAGTATAGTTAGTGCAAGCGCCCTTTAGGAAAGCGATATCCTAACCGTTAATTCGATAACTTAGAGTTATACACTCTAAGTACGGACCCTTTAACTACTTACAAGGACCGTACTAGCTGTTACTAGTATATACGCGTCTAGCAGCAGCCGTATATATAAGCGCGGCAGGTAAGTAGTTAACATTCGATTTTAAGCCTAAATTGAATGCCTTAGCCGCCTTACGTAGACGCGGAGGCACACTTAGAAACAGCCGAGTATTATCCTAGCTCGTAATAAAATGCCTAACATTAACGTTGCGTAGCTAAGGCGGAGTCTACTCCGGACTAATATTAGTTAAGCACTAGATGATTCTCTAGAGAATCGCGACAGTTAACTAAACTTTCTTAAGGACTGCGCCTAGTTAGCAAATTATTAGAAAGGGGAAACTCTAATAGCAACACTTACTAGTCTCTATAAGCTAGAGCTTATTATAACGCGAAGGGTGCCGATTCTTGTTTAGATTATTACTACCGCCGCCGCTACTACTACTACCTATACTCCCTAGGCTAGGGTAAAGAATTATCGCTATAATAAAGTCTCGGCTAGCTATTAGACTTAAAAAGTTTTAGTAAGAATTTAAATTCTAGTAGAGGCTACTAGTACTTAGGGGATTGCCGAAGAGTGGATTGTAAAAGTTTAAGTTGTCTAGTTAAGGTTAAGTGTCTTTTATAGGCGCCTGCTAACCCTACAATTACGACTAAGGACATTACTTTAAAGCAAACCAATTAGCAAACATTGTAATATAAGCACGTACAAGTAGTATAGCATATAAAGCTGCATATAAAGCAGATATAGTCTAATATCTAAAAGTAGTTAGAAGATAAAGTGAAGCTCTAAGCCTAGATTTGAAGTGTCTAATCTGAATAGCACATTATCTCTACCTAAGGGGGAGTATTGTAGTTTAGTTAGGTAATATGCTAGTTAGCTGATACCATTAGCTAACCTGTGCTAAGAGGAAGGACATACAATAGCTATATTAACTGCAGTTTCTATAGCAGGCTCCTAATCCTTCTTTGTACAGTTATATAGTTGTCAATCCGATGATTAGTTGCATCCTTAGCACGATTTACAACAGTCTCCGACCTGCACCTTCGGAAGCTACTGTAAGTTCATGTCGCGTTCGCTTGAAGTCATTAACAACATGCGTTGCTCACTGTCCGAACACATGGATCTCACGGCGATATGGACAAGCACTACGGAGTCAAACAGCACAAGGCCAAACGGCTGAGGCCATCAGAAGAGGCGGAAGACATAGCAAGCACCGCAGACACCGACGACAACCACGAGAGCACCGAATTCAAGCTCGCAGTATTGGCTTCTCTGCATCCGGACAAGACTCCCGAAGTGCATCTCGACTATCTGCTGGCATATGAGGGGAGTGCGTACAAGGCTAGTCAGGCACTTAGCGGCAGAGTCGACCAAGTGGTCAAGAGGAAGCGCCCTACGACGCCTGGCTATCAGTCTTCGCTGGACTCCTTCGCCTCAAGAAAAGGCCCCGCCGATGGACACGCTTCAAGCAGTGGTAAACTGCTCACCAAGAAGGGCAAGACATTGCATCTGTATACGCCGAAAGAGATCGAGGAGAATACTCCATGTTCCATTGTTCACAACTTCCTACCAACAACACAAGCGGATGCCTTGCTGAGAGAGTTGCTTGAGGAGGCGCCGAGCATGAAACGTGGCACTTTCCAGCTGTTTGAGAGAACCGTGCAAAGTCCGCATACGTGGAAATTCTACGTTGATACGTTGGAGGATGTGAAGGTACAGAAAACGGAATACGTGTATGACGGCATCTACGAAGCAGATGTTTCGCAGACCACCCCAGAGATGCTCAAGGTCTCGGTGATTGTCAAGGAGGCAGTCAACAAGGAAGTCCAACGCCGCATGCGTGATTTCCAGCCCGAAGGCAAGAAGCTAAAGTTCCAGTCTCCAACGGCCTGGGAGCCTAATGCATCGTTCGTGAATTGCTATGATGGCGCCAAGGAGAATGTTGGCTGGCATTCAGATCATCTTACTTACCTTGGACCACGCGCTATCATTGGCAGCCTCTCGCTCGGCGTCGCCAGAGAATTCAGAGTTCGTCGTATCGTCCCACAAGTCGAAGCTACCTCGGCAGACGAACAAGGCCAGATTGCGATACACCTTCCCCATAACTCGCTGCTGGTAATGCATGCAGAGATGCAAGAAGAATGGAAACATTCTATCGCCGCGGCGCAGACCGTTGAACCACATCCTCTCGCCGAGAACAAGCGACTTAACATTACGTACCGATGCTATCAGCCATACCTCAACCCGAAATTCACGCCGCGATGTAGGTGCGGTGTGGCTTGTGTGCTGCGTTGTGTGCAGAAGAGACAGGTCACAAGAGGTAGGTACATGTGGATGTGCTATGCAAACTATACGCCTGGCAAGAAAGGCTGCTCATATTTTGTCTGGGCGGAATTCGATGAGCATGGCAGACCGCCTTGGGCAGAGGGATATTTAGGGAATGCCAACAAGCCTGAACCTGGAACCGAGAGATGGGATGAAGAATGAACAGCTCTTGCATTTAGTCAGCGATAAATGTCATCCACATCAGCACTGGTTTCGGCAAACGTGTGCAACAGTACCGTCTGTCTTTCACGGACCTGTGCATTGGGTATGCGAACTTGACACTCAAGCCTCAGGGATTTTTACAGGAGACTCTGAGGGCCATTGACCCAGTGACTGTCCGCGCCAACCGCCGGCCTGGCCGACTAGTGGGTTTAACGCAGCTGCGAAGCACATTTTCTTCGGGTGATAGATCAAAGATCGGCGAGGTTTGAGCTGTGACTGCCTGTCATCGTTAGAGGAGAGATGCCTGAAATCAAAATCAGTCCAATAAATGCAATGCCTCTTATTTCCTCCTCAGATCGGCCGAGATGGAAAAGATGTAAAATTTCGAAGTTTGATGAGGTCATCGTCGCTGCCAAATCCGGACGATCAAGTGAATGAAGGGAGACATCCACTAGCGCCCGAGAAACCGCAGCCAATTAAAGAGCACAGAATCTTCCAAGCGAGTGCGCGCCTAAACAGCACGATCAAAGTGAATGAAGTAAGGCATCCACTAGCGCCCGAGAAAACGGAGCTAATCAGAGAGCACAGAATTTTCCAAGCGATCGCGCGCCAAATCCGTACGATCAAGTGAATGAAAGCAGACATCCACTAGCGCCCGACGAGCCGTAGCAAATCAGAGAGCACTGAATTCTCCAAGCGCGATCGCGCCTAGACAGGACGGTGAAGTGAATGAAAGCAGACGTCCACTAGCGCCCGAGGAGCGGCAGCCAATAAGAAAGCGTAGAATCTTCCAAGCGCGATCGCGCCTAAACAGGACGATCAAGTGACTTCCAAGCGAGCTCGCGCCTGAGTGAATGGAAGGATACATACACTAGCGCCCGAAGAGCCGCAGTCAATCAGAGGCTTTAGACTCTCCTACGCGAGCTCGCGCCTAAACAGGATGAGATGAGGATTTTGTGATTGAGAGAGTTCTGATCATGGGAAGATTCACTGCGAACGGATACATCCATTTTATGAACGTCAACTTGCATTTAACGCCATCTGTAATTTCCAAGTTTGACATCAAATTCACAGCTATTGAAGACTCCTAACAGTCCGATTATCCTGCCACTGCAGACCACTATCAGTCCGAATGAGCCATCTCTCCTCGCGAGCCGAAACATGTCTTTCCGTGAGTCTCTCACCATAAGGTATAGCTTTCCAACAATGCTCCCATTTCTTCATCAACTCGAAAGCGTTCCTCATCCCCGCCTTGACACTTTGGATTTCAACCACGTACAAAGGACTTCTCGGAATTTGAACCGTGTCGGCAAGATCTAATAGCAGGTCTGCAGCTTGCAGAAGCGCTTGAAACTCCGGTGCTGATGCATAGAGATTTTTGTAAGCGTCTTTATTGAGAAGGGCGTCTTTGGCGTCTGAGAGGGAGTATGAATGGAAGGTGATGAGTTCCACTTGCTTGTGCAGCTGTTGCAGAGAGTCTTCGCCCATGGTCTCGTTGAAGTAGTATGTGTCGTTGGTGATGGCTTCAAGAGAGAGGTAGGCGGTGATGTTCATCGTAAGAATGTTGCAGAAGTGGTAGATGTGCCAGAGCAGATGTTCCGCAGACATTGGAGTGTCGATGGGGACAGGCGAGTTACTTGATTCGGATGAGCCGGATTTGTTGGCTTCGTCTTTGCTAGAATGCGTGGCGACCGCCAAGGCACTTTTGAGGCCTGCACGTGTCATGCGTGGTTTGGGTTGTGATCTGATGTGATGCTGATCGAAGTCTTTAATGTGCTGTTGGACATACTCAGGCCACCACCACAAAGATTATAGCAAACTATTCATGCATGGCGAAGTGAGACTTCTTTCACTTGGAAGCCCTTCACTGCCACAGAGCACGAGAAATTGTTTGTATTCATCCTCGTTTTAACGAAGCAAATCGTTTCTGCAGCTCATCGATGTCTGGTATTTTGCCTCCTGGGCCATTGTCTGCCTTCTTAGCGCCATTCGCCTTTGCAGCATCCGTCATCTTCTTTGGAGGCTTCAAATCGGATGCGCCTGTGACCTTTGGTCGCACATTGTCGGTGCTCGGCGAGGGAGGCATGACGGAAACGGGACTCTTTGGGCCCATGTCTCGGGGTGGTGTAGCTTTGCTCAGCTCGTCTGTCGACAACGGTGCTTCCAGAACTTTCACTTTCTGTCCACCCGAGGGGTTGTCATCATCATCACCATCACCATCCTCTTCGTCTTCGTCTTCGTCGGCTGCTGCAAGCTCGGCATCTCGCTTCGCTCTCGAGCCTGGTGGATAGTCAACGCCGTATGCTTCCGCGATCGTCTCCAGGTATGCCTCGACCAGCTCCTTCGCTGGAGGCTTCACCTCGAGTTTCTTGAGCACGCGCTCCGGCACTTTCCCAGCTTTGTTCTCCACAGCTTCCAAGGTGAATTCTTTGCCAAACTTCTCTGCTAGCAGCTGTCTGACTGTGCTCAACTCCTTTACGCCATCGATCTTCGGCGCGGAATAAATGATGCTCTGGACAGCTTCTTCTAATCCCGGATCGACCTCTTTGGCTTCCAGCAGACCGGCGCGGGCTGTCAGCAGCTCACAGTAGAGTTCTATGATCTCAAGCAGCTCTGTGTGCAGATCGGAGCGGATGATGTTCTCTACTCGTATGCGCGCGCTCTCGATTTTGCCCATTTCCAGCAGCTGGGCCATTTCCCGTCGCTGCTGCTTTGCCAGAGCAGTATCCTTTTGCTGCACCATGCGCAGACGCGAGATGCTCAGCTTGAGCTGCACCTTGATTTTGTTGACCAGCGTGGATGCGGGTGCCATTTTGCTTGCCAGACCTCGCTGTCAATGATTCAAGTCATGCGAAAGTGTCCAAGATGAATCATGAGTGCCTCTGGATATGTTGACGCGTCGGAGCTTGGAGATCGGCGGTCGGCAATCGGCAATCGGCAATCGGTCGTCGGCAATCGAGGGGCAATCCACGTAGAGTTGTTGACTTACCGTGTTTTTAATTTCCGGGTTTATAAACACAGTGTTCACTATATAAACTTACACGAGACACAAATTAGTTAGCAAGTGGGGCTATTAATATAGTATATCGTATATAAAGGGCCTAGGCAAAGGAAATAAGACATATAGAGCGTAGATAGTAACATTCTTAGTATACAAAGCAGCCCTACTAGCTATTACTATCGACCGTAAGGTCGATATAGTTGCTATTACTATCGCTATCGCTCTAAGTAAACTCGAAGTCGCCTTATAGCTTAAATACTTCCTTAAGAATATCCTATAGGTCTATATAACTGTCGTCTATAAGCTTATCGTCGTTAATATAGTATTTAATACATAGATTCTAATATATAAAGACTAACTTCTCGAGAATATCGTAGCTTAATCTATTGCGCTTTAGTAACTAAATAAAGCTATAGGCAGACTAGTTACGCTCGGCGGTGCTAGTTGTCGGACAAAGAGACAATACTAGTATATAGAGGTTAGTAAGCTTAGGGTACGAGTCTCGGAAGTTATTAGCCTACTATAGCAACGGTATCGGACTCTTTCTAGCCGCCTATATAACTAGATCGCTAAATAGACCTTGTCGGCTATAGAGTATAAAGATATTATTAAGAAGTTGTCTAGTATGCGTATAGATCTCGTCCTTCGACTCGTAGTAGTTAGGGTAGGTAGCGGACATACGTTATTAGTTAGCGTAGTATTTAACGAGGAAGGGAGTAAGGCTTCGGACCTCTTCGTTAGTTACAAGTATAAACTACTTCTTAGGGTCGGAGCGCTCGGAAACTGTTAGAGCTAAAGAGGCTATACGTAATTAGTATGTAATTAGGCCGAGTAAAGCTAGGGTCTTAGTGCCTTAGGCAGGGCTTGGCGCTTAGCGTTAGGCTAACTCTCCTGCCTTCCTCCCTCTCCTCCTAGATTCTTATCGAATACTACTCGTACCTACTACTACCCTATCTACCTACTAATATACCCTTCTTATATAGTATTCGATCTACCCTTTAAGGGCAGTAGCTAGATAGTCCTTATTTCAAGCTTTTAGCGGTATAGCTACGAACAAGACTAATCTAACTATATTACGCCCTAAGAACGGGACCTATACGTACTATTCTATCGAAACAACCGTACCAATTATTAAGCAAGGCCTTCTATACGGCCTATTATACTAAGTTAATCGCACTAGACTAATACCTACTAATTCCGCTACATCCGCATCTTAGGGGCTAATAATACATTATTAGTATTACCCCCTATTATAATAGCCGGCTTATTACGAAACAACAACCGTGCTGCCGCTAGTAGCGCTAGCAACGACAATACTAGTAGCATAGTGCCTACTAAAGTACCTACTAGAGTACCTACTAAAGTACCTCCTACTAAAGGGCCTACTACTAAGCCTACTAAAGAAGAACCTATAATTCTAGGTAACGATCTAGAATTGCCTATTAACGACATTCTTAACAACATTGTTAATCGACGATATAGCTAGCTAGCCTTTAGGCCCTAGCTAGTAGCGAGACTTTAAGAAGCTACTTAAAACAGGCTTACTACCCTACGTTAAGAACAACAGCTAAAGGATAACCTCCTCGAGATTCGCCGCCTATAGGAAGCCCTAACAACTACTACTAGACTAGAACCAGTAGTAGGACCTTCTATTTAAAAGAAGGATGCTAAGCTTAAAGACTATACTGTATTTAATAGCTCTAGCCGCAAGCAGTATAATAATTATATACGTAATTGCGAATTGAACTAGCGGAATGCACTAAGGGCCCTACCGGACGACTATTCGTTAGTCGTCTATACTATGCAATACATTAATAGAGACCCGAAACGTACCTAGGATAACTATTTCGACTCCCTTACTAATTAGACCTCTATTTAGTAGCAAACCTATAAGACTATTATACTAGACACCCTTAGAAACCCTATACTAAGACAACAATATACTTAGGACTAGTACCTTCGAGCTAAGCAAAAGACTAATTAATCGGCCCGCTTATTCGAGGCCTATTTAAAAACCCTTAAAGACGACCTTCCGCCTAAAACTAATTCTATATAGATCTCCGAGATACGCCTAAAACTCAGATAGGAACTTATCCTTAAATTAGACCGCCGCCGTGTATTCGAACAGGCTAGCCTAATACGCATTTAATTTATAGTCGAAGTAGAAACAGCCGAACGAGCTGTTTAGCTTTAGCAACGGCTAGAATCGAGGATCCGACTAACTAGTACTAACCGTAGTAACCGTAGTAGCCGCGGCGGAGCAAACTAAGGTTCCTACTAGAACAACAATGCTAATAATAATAGTAACAATAACTGTAGGAGAAGCCGTAGCCGACGGCTATATAGAGGAGGCCGTAATAGGGGCTATAGAAGGGGCTCGTATCCCTATAGTACTAATCGCTCGGCTAACAACAGCGGCAACAGCTATAGCAATCCCCTAACCGGACTGAAGTACTTTAATTGTAACAGCACTAGCTATCTACTAGGCTAATGCGACAAACCTAAGGACTAGGCCCGAATCGACCGTACTACCGCCGAGTACCGAAAACACCTTTTAGCAGCTAACGCTACCTCTATAGGCCAACCTTCGAAAAAAGAGTAAGCGCCGCACTAACTGTTAGCCTCGTACGGCGTAAGACTATCGACATTGTGCTAGCTATAATACGCTCCTGCCTTGTATAGGACACGAAGGGCACTACCTATTAAACTAAGGTTATACTAGATCTAGGAAATTCAGTTAGTGCCCTTATTAGCTATCGCCTAGCTAAGCAATTAGACCTTCGACAACTGCCGAAGACTGACCTCCTAACCCTTGCTTGGTTTAATAACGCTCAGCACTTAACCTATAGGGCCTACTATGTTCCTATAGCTCTAAGGGACGACCTCGGAAATGAACGCCTACTAGACTTCACTGCCTACGTAGTAGATATAGACAACCTGTATAGGGGAGCTACTATTATTATTAGCAACCCTGTTCTTAAGTACTACGCTATAGCTATAGACCTAGGCCTCTAGAAGTAGCGATTTAGAATCGCTAGGAAAGAGGACATTAAACACATTAATATTAGCGAGTGCCCTAACGATATTAGGGTCCTGTTTATTAGCAACCTAATACCTACCTTAGCGGATCCGATAGCTAATCTTCTCGGTAGAGATAACGATAAACCTGTACCCCCTAATAGCATAGACCCTAACTAGCTCTCTCGTATACTAGAACCTATTCGAGAAACCTATATTAATATATTCAAACACTACCTAGTATCGACATTACCTATATTTAAAGAGACGGATTATAAGATTGATATTATAGAGGGTAAGGAGGTTCCTTTTAGCCCCCTCTACAACCTTAGTAAACGAGAGCTTGCTATACTACGTAAGTACCTAGAGGAAAACCTAGCTAATAGTCGAATTCGATATAGCAATAGCCCTGCTAGTGCACCTATCCTGTTCGTACTAAAGAAGGATAGCGGCCTACGTTTATGTGTTAATTATAGAGGGCTTAACGCTGTTACTATCAAAGACCGCTATCTACTCCCGCTTATTAATAAGACCCTCGACCGCCTTTCTAGTACCTACTACTATACTATATTAGACATTAAGGATACGTACTATCGTATCCGCATTCGTAAGGGCGATGAATAGAAAACAGCCTTCCGCACTCGTTATAGCTATTTCGAATACTTAGTTATGCTATTTAGCCTAGCTAATGCCCCTATAACATTCTAGTCCTATATTAATCGGGCCCTTTTAGGCCTATTAGACTATCTCTGTATAGTTTACCTAGATAACATCCTAGTTTATACACATTTACCTAATATTGCAGAACACTAGGCCGTAGTGCGTAAGGTCCTTAACCGCCTACGAGCCTATAGACTATATTGCAAACCTTCTAAATACACCTTTGCTTCTAAGGAGGTGTTATTCCTTAGCTTTCTTATTTCAACCGAGGGTGTTAAGGCTGATCCTAACCGGATTAAAACAATCACTAAATAGCCCGTTCCTACGTCTATTAAAGAGCTTCAATTATTCCTAGGTTTTACTAACTTCTACCGTCGGTTTATTAAGGGCTATTTACGGTATATAATGCCCCTAACTGAGCTTACCAAAACCAAGGCCAACCTAACTAGAGAGTTCAAATAGACTAATAGAGCACAAGCCGCTTTTAACGGCCTAAAGCAACGCTTTACTAATGTCCCCTTATTGCACTATTTCGTACTAAGTAAGCAGATCCGAATTGAAACTAACGCTTTACAGTTCGCTATATTAGCTATTATATTACAGCAGGCTAATAATACCTATTAGCACCCGATTGCCTTCTTTTTACGGAAGATAATCGATATAGAACGTCGGTACGAGACTTACGAGCAAGAGCTCCTAGCAATCGTAGAAGCCTTTAAGCACTAGCGCTATTATCTCGATAGTGCTTAGCACCCTATTTAGGTCTATACGGACTATAACAACCTCCGTAGAATTACGAAGGTTACTAGGGTTATAGGTCGATAGGCTAGATAGGCCGTCTACCTCGCCGGGTTCGATTTTAATATATTATATCGGCTAGGCGTAAGTAACCCTACTAATAGCCTATCGAGGCGACCTAATTACGATAGCGAAACCTAACACATTAATTCTCTGTTTCCAACCCTGTAGTATAAGATTGCTATAGACCTTGCTATAAAGCAGGCGTAGGATAAGCGGACTTTCGGACCCCGCGGCGGCAACAAATACTATAGCGGAGTTGTCGTTCTTCTAGTATACGTTAAAAGAAAGGACGTAGATCGCTCGAGCTATAACGACTCGATTGAAGATATTGCTATCTATAGCGATAGCACT